ATGAACTATCCAGTTATTTCACAATATATTAATTGGCGTGCAAGTTTGTATATTCAAAAGTGAGACCCATGAAAATCAACTTTATTTACGTGCTCATTGACTAGTTCTTCATCTAATGGGGGGGGATTATATACAGTGGTACCTCGGATTACATACGCTTCAGGTTACACACTCCGCTAACCCAGAAATAGTGCTTCAGGTTAAGAACTTTGCTTCAGGATAAGAACAGAAATCGGGCTCCGGCGGCGCGGCGGCAGCAGGAGGCCCCATTAGCTAAAGTGGTGCTTCAGGTTAAGAACAGTTTCAAGTTAATTACGGACCTCCGGAATGAATTAAGTACTTAACCCGAGGTACCACTGTACTGAAAAGTAAAGTTCCACAATTGTTTCATTCACATTTTAAGGGAAATTAACCTGTGTGCAAACTTTGCTGGTGCAGGCAGCTGAAGCAAGCCCTGTTTTGCTCCTCCCTTAGCATAGCGGCAAAACAAAAATTGGCCAACTCACTTAGCGTTATATGTGAAGCAACATTCGTGGTTTGCTTCTTGCCAGATAAATCACAATGAGAAAACCAAAGTTCTGAGAGAAACTGACCACAAAAGCTTGTTGATCTGTAACCCTAAGCCTGCCACTCTGTCCTTTGTTTCTCAAAAGGGAGAAGCTTACTTCGCTGATTATGATTTATGGCCAGCATTACATCCAAACTGAGTCACTGTGAGCCTCACTGACGTGTGTTCCAACCAGACTGTTGTTGTCCTCAAGCCCCAAATTTCCATGAAGCATAGACCCTGTTCTTATGAAATACAAAGCACAACCTTTCTTGATCAAATTGCTTCAGAGTTTCTCATTGGCCAGTGAAGTAAGTTTCTTTGACAGTCAGTTGGCAAATTTGCTTGTGGATAAAGAATGAGGGCACCATTTAATGTTTCAGGTTCAGACAACGGATCACCCCTTGGTGTGTACACATTGATGTGCAGTAGCAGGGGGAGAACACATAATGGGATGGACCCACGAGAAGTTTGTCCAGTCTTGTAAACAAGCCCAGAAAAGTTAACAGCAGGTGGGGGAACAGATCCGCTGTATTTCTATACTGACCATGGAGGAAGGAACATTCCTCTTCTGACAGCCCACCTGGTTTCTCTGCTGGGCTTAGAAGAGGGGCAAGCAGCTCAACCCTGCCTCTGCCAGCCCACTAACTCACCGGCTTAACTTGTCACATGTCAGTTCTACTGAAATTAATGAAATAGTTGTAACTAACCTTTCATGTAACTAACCTTTCCCTTCTTTTCTCCAGTGTGGCCATACAGAGAATGGAGACCTCTACTTCTGCTTTTAAACTAACCAAGAGTCTCCTGTCATGTTTGAATGGGCAGAACACCAATAATTTTAATCCAGGTGTGAGAAACCTGCAGTTCTTGGCATAATTTCTTCTAAGTGGCAAAAAGGGAGTGACAAGAGAGAAAATGGATTGTGCCACCTCCCCCTCTCTGCCCACCACTAGCTCTGCCCCTACAGACTTAACCTGGGGGAATGTGGCCCTTGGCAGGGGGAGGTGACTTTTGCTAACAAATCATTATCATAAACCATGCTCTGAACCAGTCTTGTTTGAACTAATCCTAGTTTGTGTGTACTTTATGTACTAACCAACACAAGAGCTGTCTTGCTGAATTAGATCAGGGTTTCCCAAACTTGGGTCTCCAGATGTTTTTGGACTACAACTCCCATCATCCCTAGCTAGCAGGACCAGTGGCCAGGGATGATGGGAACTATACTCCAAAAACAGCTGGAGACCCATTTGAGAAACTGTTTAGACCAAAGTACCAGAGTAGCCAGCCAAACACTCCTGGGAAATTTATAAAAACAAGGTGTGATAAAGACAGCCATCCTATCTTGGTTCTTCCCCTGCAACTGCTAATCAGAAGAGCACTGGCACACCACTCCTAGCTATTACAGCTAATCACAATTGATAGCCTATGTTCCAATTAAAATTTGGCTAAATCTGTTCAAATGCTAGAAACCATCCCAACTCACTGGAATATGACTGCTTCTTTTTATTTCTACAGCACCTGACAGTATTATTTTCAAGGGACTGACAAAGAAAAGCAACACACTTTTGGGTGCACATTTGACACTGCATAACCTCCTCCTTAAAACATCAAATGCCACCTAGTGAGCTTGGTGAACAGGGATCGTGTTATAAATCATGACATATACATCACCCTCAAAACCTCCAGTCTTCCTTCTTGAGCCCTTACGGCCAGCACTTGGGGCATTTTGTATTACTGATTATCTGCACTGCAGGCCATTTTTCTGCCTGACTCGAAAGCCAATTTTCCTAGTGAAAATGACATGGTAAATGGAAATCATTTATTCTTCAATATACTATGAGGTGCACAGACATAACAAACTCAACTAATATAACCCTGCCATCTTAAAACGATATGATAAAAACTCAATGGATGTGCTTAACTCAGGATACCAGGTTGTTCTGCTCATTTCCCTGCAGGTTGTGATTCATCAGTGGTTCAGTTTCTCGATCACTCTCTTTTTTAAACACACACAGCAAGATTTTCATATGGTGCTTATTTAGTCCACACTATTATTTCTCACATAATACTTTGCTCTTATTCACTGCAAATTCTTAGGATATGCCTGCATAAATAGGCATTTATGTGCAATATGTTATGAAAAACTGGACTACTCTTCACATTTCCCTGCAATGTTCCTACCCCAGTTAGCGCCCTATTTTCAGCTAGCTTTGGGTATCTGAACCAACTATTATATTTAAATAATAGTCTGCATTCTGACAATTACGTTGCAGCTTCTTGTACTGATGCACATAGAGATCTATAAGCTCAGCTAACTAGCCAGGCTAGAGGCCTTGTGTCTATTGTTTCTTTGTAAGTGCCTTATCTTGTGCTAGGAGCAGCTTTACACCCAAGGTGGTAAGCACATACCTAAGCATCTACATATGAAAGGACACCTGCCTACATGCGGGGGGGGGGTGGTTAGAGAGAGAGTTCTTTGTTCCCTTGGCTCAATAATGAATAGGTAATCTGTTAAACCACAGAGCCTAGGTGTTAAGTTGTGGGCGAACATATCAGACAACACAGCAATTCTTCAAACAGCTCTTCTTTATTCTGAGGCCAGAACTGAACTGAGCTGAAGGGCTCAGTCAGCCTGCTTATATAGAGCTCCAGTACCTTGTTACTGTAACAACTTTCTAAAACTATCCAATCACTGAGCGTCACTTTCAATCCTTCATTTGCATACAAACTATCCAATCACTGAACATCACTTTCGATCCTTCATTTGCATAACTATCTACAGTATCCCCCTGCTGGCCCAGGGTGAGAACTTCAGTACATAACACTAGGACTTGCAGATCAGAAGGTCAGCGGTTCGAATCCCTGCAACGGGGTGAGCTCCCAGTTGCTCAGTCCCTGCTCCTGCCAACCTAGCAGTTCGAAAACACGTCAAAGTGCAAGTAGATAAATAGGTACCACTCCGGCGGGAAGGTAAACAGTGTTTCCATGCGCTGCTCTGATTTTGCCAGAAGTGGCTTAGTCATGCTGGCCACATGACCCAGAAGCTATACACCGGCTCCCTCGGCCAATAAAGCGAGATGAGCGCCGCAACCCCAGAGTTGGCCACGACTGGACCTAATGGTCAGGGGTCCCTTTACTTTTTAATGAAGGAAAGACATTACATGGTATAATTAGTATTGTGTTGTAACTTTAGATTGGAGGAAGTTTATGCATACGTATTGCTTTAACAGATAACAGCTATGTATATTAGCAGGCCCCACCCTTTTGGGCTTCCTCAGCTTTTGGAGAGTGATCCCACTGAGCCTTTATTGCTAGCAATAAACACCCTTTTGTTATTCCTCAACGCTGCTGGAGTTTTTCCTTTCAGCCCAGAGGTTTATTTTGCTACAACACTTATCAGATTTTTTAAGATAAATAAACAATTTGCCTATGTCCAGAATATCAGCAATCCCAAGCATAAGCAACCCCATTATGATTTCTTTCCCACCTCAAATGTCATCGACTGTGATAATCTTCACATCACCTCCATCTGCTATTTCTGATCATGGACATCCCAATAACTGCTGCTATGAGTGGATATAGACAGCCAGCTCAACTGCTTGTGCAAATGCCCAACATTACTGGGAATGCAAAAACCTACAATCCTGAGAGGTAAGAAATATGTGAACAGAAGATACACACAACCAGATCAAAATCTGAAATAACACATGAAGCTATGCTGGCATGTTTTTTAAAAAAAAATCGTAAAAGTCAACAGGATTTCAGCTTTCAATAAGCAATATTCAACCACTGCTCTGGCTTAATTTTGACAAAGCAGACGATATTTTTAAAATTTGAGGAGAGAATAAGTTTGCTAATGGATTCGACATGGCCTTCTTCCATACGCACATTTCAAGTCTTGCTCTAAAAGCTTGCAGCTCTAAAAGCTTGCAGCTCACGCATTACAATGTCAGGGACAGGTCAACATGATTATTCTCAGAGTGTTTCTTTTTTTTTTTTTTTAATGATATTTATTCCAAGTTTAAAGTTACAAAAAAAGAGAAAGAAAAACCATACAAAATACAAAGAAAACTTTAACCATAACAAAGCAAAAAATAAAAAGATTAAAATAAACAATAAAATAGAATAAAAAGAAGACTTAACAAAAATATAAAAATGCATTAAGTTAAAATGAAGCAAAAACAGATTAAACCTTTACATAGCCTTTTCCCTTTACTTATTTCCATGACCTCCTCTCACCTCCCAATTTTGTATTCTAGTTCAGATCGTATTTCCAGCAAATCCTTCTAACCTTATTTTCATTTACGTATTTTAAATTAAAATAATATAATTAAACCTCCTCTGTTTCGTCAATTTCATCAACTCATTTTTGCTTAATCCTTTATATCATATCTACCAAAACGACCTAATTTTCTTTTTCCAACCTCTTTCTAACAGTCTTTTATATTGCAGTATTTTTTCCAATCTTCTTCCATCGACCCTTCTCCCTGGTCTCGAATTCTGCCGGTCATCTCAGCCAGTTCCATGTAGTCCATCACTTTCATCTGCCATTCTTCTCGGGTGGGCAATTCTTGTGTCTTCCAGTACTTTCCGATGAGTATTCTTGCTGCTGTTGTAGCATACATAAAAAAAGTTCTATCCTCCCTTCGCACCAATTGGCCGACCATGCCCAGAAGAAAGGCCTCTGGTTTCTTCAGAAAGGTATATTTAAATACCTTTTTCAATTCATTATATATCATTTCCCAGAAAGCCTTAATCCTTGGGCATGTCCACCAAAGGTGAAAAAAATGTGCCCTCAGTCTCTTTACATTTCCAACATTTACTATCTGACAAATGATAGATTTTTGCTAGTTTGGCTGGGGTTAAGTACCACCTGTAAATCATTTTCATTATATTTTCTCTTAAGGCATTACAAGCCGTAAATTTCATACCTGTGGTCCATAACTGTTCCCAGTCAGCAAACATAATGTTATGTCCAAAATCTTGTGCCCATTTAATCATAACAGATTTAACCGTTTCATCCTGTGTATTCCATTTCAACAGCAAGTTATACATTCTTGATAAGTTCTTAGTTTTAGGATCTAACAATTCTGTTTCCAATTTTGATTTTTCCTCCTGGAAGCCAATCTTCTTATCTAAATTATAAGCCTCCCTTTATTCTCAGAGTGTTTCATAGGACATTCCACTACACGTATGCATCTAAAATTCTGTTCCTGTAATATTGAGATCCACTGTGTTCATCTTACAATTATTACAACTTTTGTCCAACTACAAACACTTTCTACCCTTACATGATTAGGACGTAAAAAAAATATCACTAAATTTCACTTGATAACCAGATATTTAATACAGTGGTACCTTGGGTTAAGGAGGGATGCGGGTGGCGCTGTGGGTAAAACCGCAGTGCCTAGGATTTGCCGATCGCATGGTCGGCGGTTCGAATCCCCGCAGCGGGGTGAGCTCCCGTCTTTCGGTCCCAGCTCCTGCCCACCTAGCAGTTTGAAGGCACCCCCAAGTGCAAGTAGATAAATAGGTACAGCTTTATAGCGGGAAGGTAAACGGCGTTTCCGTGTGCTGCGCTGGTGCTGGCTCGCCAGAGCAGCTTCGTCACGCTGGCCACGTGACCCGGAAGTGTCTCCGGACAGCGCTGGCCCCCGGCCTCTTAAGTGAGATGGGCGCACAACCCTAGAGTCAGACACGACTGGCCCGTACAGGCAGGGGTACCTTTACCTTTACCTACCTTGGGTTAAAAACTTAATTTGTTCCAGAGGTCCATTCTTAACCTGAAACTGTTCTTAACCTGAAGCACCACTTTAGCTAATGGGGCCTTCTGCTGCTGCTGCGCCGCCAGAGCACGATTTCTGTTCTCATCCTGAAGCAAAGTTCTTAACCCGAGGTACTATTTCTGGGTTAGCGGAGTCTGAAACCTGAAGCGTCTGTAACCCGAGGTACCACTGTATAGATGTTTAGCTTCAACCCACTGTTCTTATTAACTTATTCATAGATACAGTACAAACATGCATAAATAATGGACAAATTGATTCTTCCTGGGACAGCCAATGGAGTCCTCAATCTCCATGCAGGGCCGTCTTACCCAAAGGCGGGGCACCCAGGCACCGGGCTCTTGGGTGCCAGGTCAAGAGTCCGGGGCCTGAGAGTTGAGTCCGGGGAAGAGCCTGCCCGTCGGTCGGAGCGCCAGAGCAGGCTCTTCTGCTGCGGGTGGCTCTGTGCCATGAGTTTGGGGGCAACCGAGCCAGTGAGACACTGAGGCGGCCATCCAGCTCCACCCTCCTGTGTGCCTGGGACTGAGCAACCGGGGGGGGGGGCGCCGGGCAGATCTTTGCACCCCCGCGCCGCATATATCTCCATGTGTGAGGTTACAATACTGATTCTACACACACACACACACACCCCTGCGGAGGAAGTGCATTCAAATGTATCCGGACTACAGTATTCATTAACTTAATGCAGTAGCCATCTAAAGTGGAGGGCTTTTTGGTATGAAAGCTGAACCCAAACTGCTAAACCCCAGAAAGGACACAGAGCACATGAAGTGGAGTGCGTATAACTGCTGTTCATATTTGCATATTTGCTTATACCGACAGAAGGTATGCATTATAGACCATGCACTGTGTCATCAATGCAAAACCAAATACATAGGTTTGTATTTTAATAATGAAACCATGCCATCCCAATACATCAAATTAGATCACTGGTTTTTATGCAGAATTTATGTTTATTCATGAGCACTGCAGTGTTTGCTTTAAGAAAGTATGAAGCTACAACGAGTAGCATTTCAGCTATGTATAGATTCGTACACTACACACCCTTAAAAATATTTATTTTCTTATAGGGGTTGCTTTCTATAGTGGGATCACAGGCTACATGGCACAATCAATTACTTTCTTGATATACTGCAATGAGATCTTTGAGACTAAGCATTCACAAAAACCAAGAGGCAAAAACACACTTATTTTAGCACTCAACAAACTAAATGGGGGGGACGTAAGTCAGATACATTATAAAAACTTTTTTTTCTTTTAATACCAAAGCTGAGGGACCAAGCACCAAATATATCTGGACAGTTTTGTTTGTAAAAATGCATATTTTTAGTTATATTATTGTGGATACATTATTTTAGACCGAAACTATGATACAAATCACTGTAGGTATTTCATACAGAGTAAATCCCTAGACATTTCATGTGCAGTCTTCATCTGAATTAGCAACACACAGAAGATCATGACCTTTGGTTTCTGTCAGCTCTTTAGAAAAAAAAAAACAATTGTATACACAGAGAGAATACAGCATAGCAAGTCTCTTAGAAATGTGTGAAAATAACAACATTTTCACCCCTTTAAATTTTGGTTTAGCTTCTATGAAGTGCTAGCCTCCTACTCAACCAACTATCAACAGCAGAGTAGTAATCAATATCTTTACTAACAGCTACTCCCAGGACTCTCTTAAAAATAAGCACTAATGCTATGTGGAATGGAAAATACCCAATTAGGTTTTCCTGGATTTACTTAGCTTGTCAAACTATTGACTGCTTTGACAATAAATATATTCACACTTGTAAGTTTGAGGGGGGAAAGAATTAGCCTTTTTAAATTAGCCATAAACCAGTCCAGAATTCAGGCATCTGGTGTGTCCCTGGCAAACCATTTGAAACTATATACTTTATCATCAATAAATTTAGAATGATGGAAAGAAAGCACTGACCTCCATGAGAAAAACTAACTTGCCAAAACTATCTTCTCCCAGATAATTGTGGGTCAGAGCTTCCTAATAAATCCTCCTTACAAGTCAGTTTTGTACTCCTAAATTCTCATTCTCTCATGTAGTGGAATGAGGAGATGAATTATGTATGGCTAAAACCTGTTTCTGATATGATAGCGAGAACTGGAGAAACCAAACTGTTTACTTATGTAATTGCATTTCAGCCATAACTATGCATACAAATGTCTTATAGGGGCTGCTTCTTGGGACATAATCCATCCTTGCCATTTGCTTATAATTTTCCCAAAGAATATGCCTACTGAGCTGGAATATACCAAGCATGATCTCAGTCAGATCATTATTTTCAGAAAGGTTAACAGGGGCCCATCCATTTTGAGTACCATATTAAAGGGAAGGGAAGGGTTTGAAATAAATAAACAAGGAGGTGATCTGCAGGGATATGAAATGCAAAATTTGTCTTCATCTGACTAGGGCTACTCAACAGCTCTCACATCTCTTGCATGAGAATATTTATTTAGTAGTTTTGTAGTTGCAAATGTTTTCAAGACAACAACAAGGCAACATCTGAAAATATTGTGTGTGTGTGTGTGTGTGTGTGTGTGTGTGTTTATAAATATGCACACATAAGACAATTATGCCATAACACAAACTAGTTTTAAAAGTCTCCTGGGTTTCAAAAGCGTATTTCCACAAGGCTTGGGAAATTGTTGTATGAGAAACACAAACTCAAAACCTCATGAAATGTGGAACTAGCTAGATCCCAAACAACATATTATACTATTCTGGTGATCCATTTCACTGGCATTTGAAACAAGTACACATTTTTAAAGAAAATATATCAAAATGTGAAAGAGGACTTTTTATTCTCAAAAAAATCACAGTGAGTTTTTTGTTCAGCTTTGTCCCTGGCATACTATCTGAGTAGCTGGTTTGTAGTCTTCAGTGCCATAGGCGAAAGCATGAGAGTTGATCATAGGCTCAGTACAGATATAACACTGGGTCTCTACGAAACCATGGACTGCAAATCAGGAACCTACCAGTTCCAATTCCTCTCAGAGGTAGCCAATACTGTATATGCTGTTGTAGTACAACACAGTCAGCCCTGACCATTGTTCATGTTGGCCAGGGATGATGAGATTTGGTCCAACTACCTCTGGAAGGCTACTGCTGATTTAGCATTACATCTTGACAGATGCTCGCATGATAAGCAGGGTTCAAAGTGGCTTTGAAAGCCCAGGTTAGCATTCTAATCTACTAGCTACTAGCTACTATTAACAACTGCAAGTGCTGGCTCCCTTTAGCTACTGAAATAAGTGTTCTCTTGAATGTTCAGCAAAGTAGAAGTATGGTACCAATGAACATTAAAATATGTTTAAATGCCACATGGTCAGAGCTGGCATTCAGTAAGCCTTAGGATGGTTAAGTTGAATCCATTCCAAGGAAGAACATTATAACATGTGAAAAAGCCTTCAAGCAGCTTAACACTCCAGAAGATAAATGTGATCTTCTCATAGCATGAAAAGGAAGGGTAAATAAAATAAGATACTGTATCAGATATGATCATTTGTTTTCCAAAGAATTCTCCAGTTATTTGTAATAAGTATGTGGGTTAAATCCACAATTGGGCAGTGGGGAGGGTTCACATTCATCTTGATCAACTGGAATGTTAAGCTCCTTGGACGTCATACAAAAAGAGAATTAGGTGATAGTCATAATATGCAGGGCTTTCTAACATTAGTCCTGTTCATTAACATTTATCCAGATACACTATCCTGTCATTTCATTCAGTGGCAAATGAAATATACAGCCTCTATCTCACATCATATTTTCTAATTTAGAGAAGAGGGCAGAGGGTAAGAATTATTTGAATGCCAGACTTACAAATGAAGCTTTTGACAAGGCTGAAAAGTGGATTCTGAAGTTCTGAGACTTCAGGGTTTGTTGGTTTGTTTTTTAAGTGGCTATTTTAAATCTCTGGAATAAGCAGTTGCCAGATTTTTAACTTGAGCGGCAGTATAACTGGGCTCCCCTGTAATGAAGTGAAAAGCAAATCGTATTGCTTAATGATGGTAAGAATGCAGTGTACTTGACTACCTGACAGATATTAAAATGTACGCAACATGTCAGGAGGATATAATGAGTAACAAGTTGGCTAGGGCTTCCCAATCAGAAATCACTCTTTTCCACAAATAGCTCTAGATAGCTTGTCTTTGGTCATTTCTCTTCATGCATTTAGTATTCCTATTTTCATTTTCGACTAAGCAGCTGTGGCCATTATTGGTGCTATAGTATCAATTTCTGCTAAAGCAGGAGCTAAGTATCAGCCGGAGTCATCAAGCTCCGTGCCAAGGCTAGGAGAAATCGTGCCAATTTCCCAAAGCATGTTAAAACAAGACAGCCACAGTGGAAATCTCTAGTAAACCAGCTATGTCCATTTAGGTAAATTGAAATGCTGGAAAGGTGCCACCTGAACTTCTTCTACACACTCAAGTGAGATCCTTTCCAAAACAAAAACAAAAAAACTCCTAACTTTCCACATTTCTGCTGCAACTAACAATTCCCCAAAGGAATGATGTCAATTGGCATTTTAAAAATGAATTCAGTGACCTACAATAATAAGAGTTTCTTATGCACAGTGCTTGCAAGCAGGCTGCCCAGGAACTTCAGGATTCATTTGGAGCTCTATGCTTTCTAAAAGCTAACAAAAGAATAGCTTAAGCTGCTTCCTCTGGCTTGATAAGTATCTTTTGCTGAGGGGCTGCCTACAACACATGAAGAAGGATGGTGGCGAATGATATCAAGGCACAGAGCAGCTCTTGGCATAGTTAAAATTCAAGAACCAGGAGGAAGAAAGCCCTCTAGATAATATATGCTCAAACAGCTGCCTTCCTGACCCGATGAGGAATTTAAAGCTTGTAGCAATTTTACACTTTTTTTGCAAGCCAGGTTTACTGGGTCTTACTTCTGCTTACGCAGCTTATATTTAGTCACCAAGTAGAAAATTGACAACTGCATCTACTCTTTTATTCACTTTAAGCAGGTCTTTGGGGATCGAAATGCCCATTTTGAAAGGGCTTAACATTCAATTATCCCATACTCCCTCCCTCTGGTTTAAACGTTCCACCAAGTCTAATGACATTCGGGAAATGTCAGGTACAGAACTCAGGGAAAGCTACTGTACAAGGACTAATGTCCCAACAAGAATAACAAATATTGCCACTTAGGTGCTAAAAAAAAGACAGTGAAATGGCAAGTACACTAGGTGAAAATTTCACATGGTTATGTGCCACATGCGCATACTCCATGTATGGCTATAATGGCATTTGAATTATTGGAAATAAGAAATTAAATCATAATATAGAGGGAATAGGGACGTGGGTGGTGCTGTGGGTTAAACCACAGAGCCTAGGACTTGCCAATCAGAAGGTCAGTGGTTCGAATACCCACAATGGGGTGAGCTCCCGTTGCTTGGTCCCTGCTCCTGCCAACCTAGCAGTTCGAAAGCATGTCGAAGGGAGCAGTTCGAAAACATGTCGGTGGGAAGGTAAATGGTGTTTCTGTGCACTGTTCTGGTTCGCCAGAAGCGGCTTAGTCATGCTGGCCACATGACCCAGAAGCTGTACGCCGGCTCCCTTGGCCAATAAAGTGAGATGAGCGCCGCAACCCCAGAGTCGGTCACGACTGGACCTAATGGTCAGGGGTCCCTTTACCTTTTATCTCCAACCTGACTGTGAACTTCATGACCCCAAGCCTATGAAAAAAATCACTTCCATTGTTCTACGCACACTGGGTATTTGTAGGTCAAGACGGAGAAGCACGTTCACAGATGAGCATTAGGGGCCTGTGGAAAACCCAATTTGTAATTCCAGAACAGCTGTTAAGCAACTATTATTATCTGTGGTGCTTGACAAGTAGAAACTACTGCATTTTCAACAAAGATGATCACACCAACATTTTAACACTCTTGTGAACAAAACACTGCACTAGCTTGCACGCTATGGAGACTGTGGCTGGTCCATCTGCTGCCACATAACCATGGACTAAGCCATGGTTTGGCATAACATACCACCAGGACCTGGGCTCATGGATTGTCACCTCAAGACAAACCACAAACTGTAAACCTAATAACAAACCTTTGCAGGAGTGACATGCCATGGTCACAACAATGCAGCAGCTTTGCTCAGCAAACCCACACATTCAGACCAAGTTATAGCTTTGCTTACTGCTACATGTGAAGCCAGCTCTTTGGGTGAAATTACGGCCCAAACCTCTGTTTTATCCTAAGATCAGCTCTTACTTCAATTATAAGAAGTATCAAGGCAATGCCAACATCAAGAACATTAAAATGCTCAATTTCACTTACGTTAAAATTTATTGTCGAGCATGTGAGATGTAATGAAATGGGGACTAGTGAATTAGAACAAAACCTGAAGAAAATTATAGAATCACAGCCAATAGTGCATCAAGCACTATATTGTATTTGCTGCTTTCCATAAAAAAACCCTTAGTATTAACTAAGTGTATTGAAGTGTATTACTTTACAAACTAAGTGCATTAAACTAAACATTTTAAACTAAGGGACTTAAACCCTCCCTTAGGAAAACATCTGGACTGGCTCAAGCTATTTTGCTGCTTGAGGAAAGGAAGCACATTGTCATTCTTGCCCCACTTTTTCTCCACACAGGAGCCAAGGCTGGTCAAGTTATTTTGGCCCCTGAAGGAAAAAATACCAGAAGCTCCTCCCCAGAAATAAAAATACAATATGACACCCAATATCAGCCACCTTACTCTAAATGGTGGGGCTGCCCCTGGGAAGCATGCCAGTTTGCAGAGTTTCAAACTGAAGATAATCATGGTCATCACTACATTTATTATTTAATCTGTGCATGAGTTCTGAAATGCAGAACAAAGTTACAGAACAGTGTGGCACACTGTTAAAAATACTGTTTAAATTCACTCTGGATTTTTTCTGGGTTCACTCTGATGCACATCATCCCTTTATGAATACAGATTGTTGCCCTTTCAATTGCCTGAAAGGGTAGTAAAGTAATACCTTTGTAAATGCTTTTTCTCCTTAGCAAAAATTAAATAAAATCAATATAGAACTAAGTGAGCGACTTTCCTATAATTCAGTCAGTCTAAATTGTAGTTTGTTCGTCTACATAACATAATGTACTGGACATGTAACCATATCTCTCATTGAAAACTATTTTATTTTCCTATCCTCTAATTTGATTTTAGTTACCTACCAAACAGGAAATGGTCTTCAGCTTGTTGCAATTGGAAGTTGAGAGGGGGAGGGGAATTCCATATCAATAATAGTACTGCCTGCTGGGTGGGTGTGGGTGTGTTTGTGGGTGTTTAAATCCATCCAAATAAAATTGTATTTCACTAGGGGTCAGTAGATCCTGAACAGAAGTTACACAAAGTAGGGTGGTAACATTTATAAAGCAAAGCTGTGCATGTTTACTTGGAAGCATATCAACAGTGCAAACCTATACTGTAAATGTCTAATCATCAGTAAGCCCCATTGAGCTCAATGACTCTTATTCCCATGTAACTGTATAAATTACATCCTTCATTGATAGAGGTGCTCATAGTCAATGAAATAGCCATTCTAGAAATGGTTCAGTCTGGGCTGAAAGGGGCAGCATTTCCCCTGAAAACACAGGCTAGTTGTTTGGGAGATTGGATGAGATGCTGTTTAGTAAAAAGCCAATGAGTACAGTGGTGCCCCGCAAGACGAATGCCTCGCTAGACGAAAAACTCGCTAGACGAAAGGGTTTTGCGTTTTTTGAGTTGTTCTGCAAGACGAATTTCCCTATGGGCTTGCTTCGCAAGACGAAACGACTTGCGAGTTCTTGCAAGTTTGTTTCCTTTTTCTTAAAGCAGGCTAAGCCGCTAAGCCGTTAATAGCCGCTAAGCCGCTAATAGCCGCTAAGCCGCTAATAGCCGTGCTTCGCAAGACGAAAAAACCGCAAGACGAAGAGATTCGCAGAACGGATTAATTTCGTCTTGCGAGGCACCACTGTAATGTAATTATGGCTGCTATGCTGAAACTTTTAACAGCTGCATCCCTCCCCTCCATATCTACCTATTAATCATTATTCAAGCTGCACTGCAGACGGCCTATGCACCTTTGAAGATGAAGTGTAAATAGGAATTATTATTTTTTTCCAAATCCCAGGTTTATAATTTATTTATCGTTTTGTACACACTGTATCTCACATCAGTGCACCTTGATTCTAAGTTTAGAAATCAATTCCTGCCCTTAATTCGATCAGTCTAAGATGTCTGCCTAGAAAGCAATTTGTCAACAGTAGATTTATTGCTCAATATTGATATCAGCCCACAGCTAAGAGTTTGCAGATCTATATAACTGAGCACATCAAACAGTTCTCCTTTATAACATATAACCAGGTGACTCTCATAAGTGAGCATGCAGTATTACAATGGTGTCTGCTTATTCTTTTTAAAAATTTAAAAAATCCAGTCCGTTTTAAAGAAAAGCTTTGCATATCATGAACATGAAGAAATCTATCACAAACTCAGTTGTAAACTGTCAGTAGCCTAAAACAGGCATGGCCAAACTTGGCCCTCCAGATGTTTTGTGACTACAATTCCCATCATCCCTGACCATTGGTCCTGTTAGCTATGGATGATGGGAGTTATAGTCCCAAAACATCTGGAGGGCCAAGTTTAGCCATGCCTGGCCTAAAACATAGTTGCTCACTCCATGCCCCATCTATATTTTTGAAAAATTAAAACTTGAGTTTGAATGGAAGTGTCTTTTCTGTTTACTGTATAATCATACTGTACAACCAGTGGAAAGTAAAAGCATTCTATAGCATTATACCCTTTTTTAAAAAAGAAAAAAAATCACTTATTTTCCTTTCCTCTTTTCTGAAAGAAACAACAGGGTTCAATTTACTCCACAGATCCATCACTGTAATGTTACCTGAAAGGAACAATCCCCTGGGCATTTGACCAGATCTTACCATATTTTTGGTCACTGTTTTCTTCATGCTGCATGAAATATTAAACCTAAGAAAAGAAACAAGTGCCAGACACACATAAAAGAACTATAAGCTTTCAAAGTTAGTCTGAGTAAAAATAGCTACTAATATGTTTTTTTTGGGGGGGTAGACAAAATCAGCCTCCAATTGGCCAGAAATCTGTGCCTTAAAATTTCTGTCTCCTAAGGCAAGATTTATGGGGGATTTGTTAACTATTATAAAGGCAAATTTTAATTATAAGTAGCATTGTTCTGTTATGCACCTGAACGTTCACAATTACCATACTTTTCCATGTATAAGATGAGATTTTTTTACTTTAAAATAAGGTTTAAAATCTGGGGGTGTCTTATACACGGATAGTGCATATGCCCATTTTCTAAATTTGGGATCCCCAAAAGTAGGGGGCGTCTTATACATGGGGGCACCTTATACACGAAAAAATATGGTAAGTTCTGAGTAAATTTTGGGGTGATGGCTATCCAGTACCAGTGTCTTTCTGCTCTTTAGTTTATCAACAGGTTACAAGATCTCTTCCTGTGTGTTACCTCCATGAGGTGTATTCAGTTATATTATCCAAAAATAAAAGTGTGGTTTCATTGGTATTTCAAGCTGCTTCTGAAGAGACCAGGAATGCAAAATATACTTACTGTAAAAGGTAGTGTTAAATGAAGGTTTGTCTTTGCAACTATGCCATGGTATTATTACCATAGTTAACAATGTTAAGGCATTTTATTGTGTAGCATTTATTTTTACGCAATGGTCGGATTGCCAAAAACAAACGATTCTACAGAAATTAACTTCCAGAGCTTCTGACAACTTTCAGGCATCTTTCGATGCTGTTATTAAGGACAACTTGATGCCATCTGTAGTCTAACCAATATGCCAAAAAGTCACACTCAAAAGATGAATGGTTCACTTTCTGATAGCAACATCCTATATTGGGACATATGGTTGAGAACAGCACAGAAGGCAATTTCAACAGATATTGAAAACAACTGTTCAAACTACAACCCATCATTTCTCACAATTCGCTATAGAATATAATTTGAATAAAATAATGTTATCAGTAGGAGGGGGAATCATATCTAAGCAGCACCATAGATTGGATGGTGCTGTTCTTCCCCTGTTTTATGAGGAAGAAACCAAGTCAGGAAATTCATAGCAGAGAAATAATGTCTGTGCTAGGGTTCTGATTGATGTTTTGGCTTCATTTGTATTTTATTTAGAAGACATACTTCAGGTCACACTCTCAAGGGCTTGTAACAGGTTACATACACACTGATTTACAAATGTAATGTATTGAAAATCAAAAAGGAAATGCAAATGCTCCACAGTACCTGTGAGGGGGGAGGATATATTAACAGCAATGAAAAAGCCTTCCCAAGGAGACACATCCTTGTCAAAACATTGCTTAGCCCAAATTCCTACTTGATTAATGTATTCCGTCCTTTACTTTCCAAATTCTAATAGTCTCTTCATCTCAGTCCTCAGAAGAATGTCCTCTGGCCACACCATTAAATCACAACAGATACATATCCTATGTACATACTAAATTGCTTGCCAATCTATAAGGAACACCAATGTCTATTTTAAAAGTTTTAGTTACTGAGTTTGAACTTTCCACTTAGCCAGTATTTTACAACTATTCATTTCAACAGTGAGCTACTTGTTCAGACATTTAACATATTGCAAACCTGACTTTCAATTTGTCGTCGCACCATAACGTAAGAAGGTAAAGTGTGTGCTTTTCTGTAAAGTAATGGCCTCTTTTTGCTGATCGGACTGCAATGCCAAGGAAAATATCTGTCAAGGAGTTTTAAGTTCCACGCATAGCACTGTCATTAAAAGCAATTACCAGGCTTAATGGAACACTGGCCTTGCATAACTTTGACACCTCCCTAAAGTTATACCATCAGTCACTGCATAAAACCATTAAACTTTCTCTCATCACTTGTCCTTTCTGGTTTCAAATTTTCCATTCTTATATGACCACTCCACAGGACCATATTTCATTATCAACCACCTCACTATGCTCAACGTGTTTAAACTCAAGTGTTTTTTGCTGCTTGACTTCTATCTTCCTTCAGGTATTATATAGAAAAATAGTGGTACTTCACCGTGCAAAAACATGTGGTAATAACAATTTCAATATTATGCCACAAATGTAAGCAAGGTCAAATTCTTTTCCTAAGCAGATCCAGCCCAACAATCAGTCTGTTCCCTAAATGGTTTGAGAAGACTCTTCTAGTCAGCTCCTGGCACTGAAGAGCTCATAACTCAGCCCACACACCGAGGCCACTAAAAAAAAGCAGCTTCATAGTAACGTCACACAGCGCATATTTCAGAGCTCCCTACTATACTTTCCTTAATGCACACTCAAGAGAAATGCTGGCAATGCTACTACCAAGGAAATAACACTTATTCAATAATACCCATTCTAATCCTCTGGGCTCTTTTTAAGTAAAACCTACTTGTGCTATCCCTTAAGCAGAATCTACAACACTACTTCAAAACATAAGTGCACCCTATAGTTTCCTTAAAATTGTCTCTTTTGACAGGCAGCTAAATAAATTAAGTCTGCAATTCTATCCATACTTTGAACTCCATTGAACTCACTGGGGATTACTTCAGATAGGACACAGAATCATAGAATTGTAAGTTGGAAGGGACCACAAGGGCCATCTCTAGACCAACCCCCTGCAATGCAGGAGTTTTTCACCCCATGTGGGGCTCGATCCCACGTGTATAGGATAGCTTTAAATCAG